GAAGAATGGACCATTTTAGTGGAAGGGTTTTTTGTTGCTGTTGTTTTAATCACAGTTGTTTGAAACTGCTCAGAGGGCTGGAATGTTAGAAAAAGCCTTAGAAAAGAAGGATTAACGGGCAGAGTACGTGCAAGATAGTTAAAGATGCGTGAGGAATTCCAATTTATCACACACTCTGGGTATATTTAAAGTGTGTGTGTGTGTGTGTGTGTGTGTGTGTGTGTGTGTGTGTGTGTGTGTGTGTACACTTTAAATTTGTGGTATTTTGTGTACTGAGAACTGGGATTCTCCCCTTATATGGTGGGTGGTATAATGTATATTATTTATATTGTAATTTAATATCACACACTTAAAATAGGAGTGTGTTTCATTGAATAACCTGCACAATTATATCATAAATTACATTTCTCAAGCATCTTTGGCATAGCTATATGTCATGTGGATAAATGGCTATTGCAATATATGCCATTTCCTATATATTTGTACCGTGCCTACCTCAGTGAGCTTCGGAAGTGTTATCACAACCTAAATATTAAAATATCTAACTAGCCACGTGATACACCAAAGAGTCATGTGATAAGTGCATTTCTCATGTACCTTTGACTATCTCACCTAGGCTTTCCTTGCTAATGCCCAGGATTTATTTTAACATTCCAAACCCTAAGCAACTTGAAAAATGAATAATGTCAGAGAAATGCTCTCTCTCTCTCTCTCTCTCTCTCTCTCACACACACACACACACTCATATATCCTCTTCAAATACCATGGAATAGATTTCTATACATACTTTTTTTTTTACAGTCCAGTATCTTTGGATCTTCTATGGCTAGAAGAAAGTTGTTATTCTCCCTGTTGCTGTTAGTATTCTCTTCTTCCAGACTCTATAAAGTTCCCATTTCTAACCAAGCAGAGTTGTGGACCTTAAACTTCTCACTTGGACTACCGGCCAGTGAAATTTTTGAGCGAGAATTCCATATGGTGGGAATAACAAATATTAAACCTGAGGCCCAGACTGAGCTTTGTTAAACTGTGCACCTGTGACAGCTTTACTGTACCTGAAAAATCTGATATAACCTAGCTCTGCAGGATTATAATGGGATCATTAGCCTTTTGAAAAGAGAGAGTCCTACCTTCCCCTATGGGATACCCAGCCCTTACTTTCAGCCCGAGAAGGCCCAGCCATAATAGACTTTAAAATCGTACCGTTGTTGTATATAGAAAATCACAATACAACAACTTTGGTTTTGGTATTTTTTTAAAGAGTTTTTATGGCTCCCTCTGAGCCGTCTACAGTTTGACACAGAGTAACTCTAAAGCACCTGTTTTTTTTTTTTTAAACAAACGAAGGGATAAAAATATATTTCAAATAAATGTTTTAAAACCCCCTAAAACAATGTATATGCACACGATAAAGAATACATGGCAATGTTATGTGGTTTAACACTTTATCTTCAGTAGCTTGGATTGACCTGTCTTGTTCAGAGGGGCAAACAATGAATCAGTTATCCATGTTATCAAAAATGCTTGTTGATAAAATATGTATACCACACTTCACCAGTGTGAATTCTGCATATGCCGAATACCATACAGAAAGACTATATTAGGAAAGTTTTAGGGAGCTCTAAGTGTTTATATTGGGATTGTTTTATGCTTCCCCCCCAGTAAAATCAGGTGTTTTGATTACCTTGAGTCCAAATTTCCAAGGTTGAGTGGGAGCCATTAAAATCCTCTTTTAAAAATTCATTGAAAACTATTGTACTTTTCTGTACAAAAAATTTCATATACATGCCATATATGGTATATATAGTGTATGCAGTATGTATAGCATACATTATATATAAAATAAGTACAGTATATAACTATACACATTAGTTTATATACACTCTATGTGTATGCACACCTCGCACGGGCACACACAGCCAATAAAAGAAGCTGTAAGACTTTTTTATTTTCCCAATAGTGGTGCTAAGAGTGTCGAATTCAAAATTTGGATTTATTGCAGAAAATGGCAGAACATGAATATAGGCCTAACAGAAATGGAGAGAGAAGCGTGCTTTTTTCCTTTAAGGACTGATCGATTTCTGAAGCTGTCTCACTCTCTTGAAGAATATACTGTTAGAATTTCATTCTTACATCAATGGATGAAAACCGAGGTGATCTTGCAAACGACATGTCTCCTAAATAAAGATAAAATGTTCACTAGCTCATATGTTTTGCCAATTATTCTCAATGACTTGTGTATTTTTTCTCATGGAATGATAGAAAATGGCTTTAAATCATTAGGGGTCACTTAGAGCCAGTCTTGATCGTTTAGTAAAAATAACAGGGCTATTATAGAGCTAAACGGAGCCGGGGTGTCCATCCGAACATACTTAAACATCAGGCCTTAGTTTAAAAAATGCGTCTACGTTTTTCATATTTCACAGTTACATGCGTTCTTTTCTCCATTGGGTATACTTTCATTAGGTCATAAGTGCATGAACAGCTGAGTGTGCGTGTTTATTTATTTTTGTGTGTGAGAGATAGGAGGTAGTCTGTATATCTACATAAGAAAATGGCATATCTTTAGGTAAGCGTTCAAACGATACATTTTGATCACTAAATCCGTATAAATGAAACGCAGAAAACATCAGGGGTTATATTTCAACATTATTTCAGAAAAATATTATTCAGGTAGAAATGGTAACAAATAACTTAAAAGTGGTAACTGCTGCTTGTGGTTTGTTCCCTTTAAAAAACCGTTCATTTTCGTCTTGAATTGTATGCCAATTTCACATAGTTGTAATTTACAAATCGTTTATATTGTCTATGTGAAACAGGGATGCTGTACATTAGTTTCCAAATTAATCTTGTGCTTTTAAATATAAACCATGCCAAAAAAAAGTACTGCACGCACTGTGGTGAAAACAGAACAGAATTTCCTAAGAAGTTGTTAATCGTATCACCTTAGCTATTTTGCAAAACAGTCTATATCCGCTGAATTAGATTAGATCCCAATAGCACGAACTTCCCTTTCCTAAACGCTAATGTAATTAGTCTATTTTAGACTCTAAAGCAAAAATGCGTGTTGAATAAAAATATTTAAATAAATCGATAACAGGACAAGATTATTCCTGCTTTATTTTTCAGATTAGTCCCATCTAAACACCTTAAAACCTTAGAGAAATACACCATATCTAATCTATCTATCTATCTATCTAAACAATACAGAACGTCTGTTTATACTAATAGATATTAGTATAAACAGAAGTTCTATATTGATTCCATACCCTTTTCCTTCTCTCCTTGTCTACTTCACTTATTTTCCAATTTAAATATGATAATTTCTTAAGAAAGACGTACTCCAAAAGTGCTTAACAAAGATTCATTTTTTTGTGTACTCTTAAAAAAATCTTTTGCTTGGTAAGGTACTACTTGAACATGATCTGTTGTTGTAAACGTGTTTTTATCACACTGTAAATTACTGTCACATTGACAGACCAGCCGGAAATGTAAATCATTCCATATACCTAAAGTTATGAAAAAGTTTGTTAAGTTTCTGGATCCTAGGATAGGCCGCTTGCTGCTGGATGGATGGCTTGGGGAAAAAAATGTTTACTATTTTTCCAAGCCACAAAACGTCGACAAACAGAACTGCTGGCTCCATCGTGCCTGGGACTTTGATGAGAGCGCATGGACAATGTGCAGAGTCCTTTCCTGTGACACCCAGGCCAAAGCCACTTGGGAGGTCCTCAGTCCTAATGCAACCACAGCTAACTGCTCCCAACAGGAGGCTCTATGGATCAGGCAGGGTCACAATTATACTTCTGCTAAAGGCAAGAACTTTTTTTTAAAGGGAAGCGGTTTGGTGGGGGGTTGACATAAAACCTTTCAATTCATCAGGGGAAAGAAAGACTGAAACTGAATTTAGTGGGAACCTTTTACAGGGGGTAAATGTCTGAGGAAAAATATACCCCTTCCATCCAAGCACTTTTCAGTGGAAAAGCGCCCAGTTTGGAAAATTGGTGCTAAGGTGCTTTTTAAAAAAGGGGGTTTCACAACCCGTATTTAGCTATTGATTATCATGAAATAAAGGAGCATACTGTAGAGAAAGACGCCACAACTCTCCGAGCAAACCGGGCTTTCAGTGTCGCCGGTTTTGCAGACACAAAACTATTTGTGTCTCAAATGGATTAAATATAAGACCTTTGCGTCTGTGTATATTTTTTCACGTTAAAAAAATCCTAAAATAACAACAACAAGCCCCGAACCTTGAAATATTTTTGAGAGAGGCTGGAGAGGAGTTCTTCGAGAACAAAGGCTCGGTATCTAATTTCTCTGGGAAGGGGTGGTGACTGCTTGGTTGTACTTATTTTTAAAAAGCAACAGCGCTGAGGTTAGATCAATGCACTGAAATATTGCCGCCTGCATAGCACCACTGAACAATGTTTCGCCCAAATTTTATTCGCGTTTATTTCAAGGCGCTAGAACTCAAGAAAGAGCATCACCAGGGTTGTTGCCTTGAAGTTTCCGCTCATCAACTACAACCCGGTCTAATACCGCGCACGCTTTCCAAACCCCAGCCCCGCTTTGCTGCAGGACAGAATGGTGTGAAATTCCTAGCGAAGCTTTGCGAACTTATATGTCCAAGCAGCGACCAGCCGCCTCCTCATTCACTGCCTGCCAAGAAGAAGCTGGGCTGGGGATATTTTTAACTCCAGTGTTTAGCTCACGTGTTGCTAGCTCCTTTTTTTTTTTTAAACCTCCTAGTCAAAATCTACTGAGCAAGATTCGCAAAACAAGTAGAAACGGCGCAAGCTGAATGAACAGAAAACTACCGACCGCGCAAAGAGAAAGAGGCGTCTTTACGAGCATTGATCCGGAGGGAACTTCGAGCTTCCTAGCACGTAATTCTAACAGCACCTTTAAAAGCAAAGCAAACCAAAGATCTAAGCAGAGTAAGTCAACGTTGTGAGAGGCGAAGCCCTGAAACGCGTATTTCTAATGTTTCTAAGCTGCGTGTCTCGTTCTGTTTGATCTGCAAGTGTTGTGGAAATGACACCCGGTCTGATACTTACACACGGAGCCACCAACGTGACAAAGCACTGCAATCTGGATTAGCCTCCGCGTGTGAATGGCCGGATCCAGGCCGAATGAAGGCAGCAGGGCGCAGTCGGCTCGCAGAGGTGTAAACTCCGTGGTGTTCTTCGGAGCCAGCTTGGAAGGAGTCAGGGTCAGGAACTGCTTCCAAAGGTTGGTTGGTTGCTGGGCCGGCTTACCCGCGGGGCTCCGGGTGTTTGCTCGCGGGAGGCTGGCTGGAGGTCGGGGTTCAGGGTTCCGACCCCTCTACACCCCAGGCTCCCGTGGGACAACGCCGGGATCACACTAGATGCCGGTTCCCTCTAGGCGGGGCCACCTTCCACCTCCCCTTCTTTGTTACTTTCCCAGGAACCGCTGCTTGCGGGAAAACGCAGCGCCCGGAGCCCAGGGGAATCCAGCGCCCTCTCCGCAGATCCCCAAGGCCAGAACTTCTCGGCCTTCTCCACGGAAACTCCGGGCCGGGGTGAGAGGCAATGAAGCCCTGCCACAGGGTTCCTTAGATCCGCGAGGTTCGTCCCGTCCCCGGGCAATCCCAGGCGCAAGGCAGGGCAGCTGAAGACAAGCGCCTCCCGGAGGGCCACTGCACTTACCTGCGGATCCCCTGTCCTTCTGGCCAGGCTCCGTGGTCCCCCATGAGCAGAGCAGCGGGGCTCGTTGTGCTCAGGAGCAGCTGGGGACAGCCTGGCCTGCGGACAGCCTGGCCGGCTCACAGCTGGCACCCGCGGTAGCAGGGCTGGGGCCAGAGGGAGGCTCCCCTAGCAGAGAGAGCCAGAGAGAAGAAGCGAAAGGAAAACTTTTGTTCAACTTTTCCCGATTCAGCCGAAGTGACCTGCAGTATCTGGAGAAGGTTTTTGAAGACGTTTAGGAGGGCGGGAGAGAGTTTTCTGCTGAGAAACTCAATCTGCCATACAGTAGCGGCTGCATCTGGGATCTGTCACAGCTGACAGCACCACAGGGCACAGACATGATCTTCTGCACAACACTGCAACTCCCCAAAATACCCTCCTCAGGCGGAGGGTGACTAGTGGCCTACCCCAGGTTCCTTCGCCCAAAGGGGGGAACATACCTGCAATAGTTACCTAACCCACCCTTCCGTCCGACTTCATAAGACAACAAACAAACAAACAAACAAACCAATAATAACCGTAATAATAAGGGATGAAGGGTGATGTCATCTCTTGATTATGCAAAGGCCATAAATGTAAGAATTGGCTTTGCGAGATTCCTCTGAATGACTTGAATGAATAATTTCAGAGACAGTTATGGCTTTGGGCAATTACCGCGCGCCTCTATGAAAACCAGATTTTAGCAACGTATGAAGGACAGTCAAGGCCAGGCCTTTTGCTAGCCTAGGCTCACCCGGCACAACAACACAAACGCAGCTCCCCCGCCCCTTCCTCCCAGATCTCCATTTCTGGTGGTGAAAAGCGCCTTCTCATGCCCTGCACTGATTGAACCCACCACGGGTTTAATTCAACTAAACAGCCACTCGGGTTGCTCTGGCCCCACTCCTCAGATATTGGGTTCCCTGTAAGGAAATCAGGCCATGCAGGGTGTTTTCAACAGAGTAAGCAAGCCTGCTGCGGGTTTGCTTTTGAACGATGTGTTTTTAAACTTCTTTCTCCTCCTGTCTTTGTCTTCTAGGCCCATTTGTAAACGCCAATCAGTTTGCACAGGTATGTATTGTTCTGTATTCATCAGACACGGCTCTGGGAACCAATATAAATAGAGCCCCCCTGAGGAGACTCTGCGGCCCTGTAATCGCCACATGCTTATTCAATAGACGTGGGGCGGAAAGAAGAGAGAGTCTTCTGCTATTTATTAAAATATCGCTGTCCATTTTTCAAATGCCACGGGCTGCAACGCACCCAGAGAGAATTCTCCTTTACACAGCATTCCTGATTAGCAAATAAACAGTCTCGAACGACAGACCCCATTGTTTCGTTGGTATTGCTGGTCTGAGAAACGTCCTCCGGATTGTATTATGTCTGGCAGGCATGGGGAGCCTTTATTGGGTCCGGGCCGCTGACCCACAGAAAAATCAGTCAGAGAAGAAGAAGAAGAGAAAAAACCCTCACGGACATGGCCCCTGACTGAGAAGGAGAAAGACATTCCCCTAGGGTGGCCCAGGCTAGCAGACTGTTTGCTCTAGCCCCCCAGTGGGCCGGGGAGCCCTGAGTCTGGGGGTCCCATCCAGGCAAGCCGGGGGCTATATCCTGTCTGAAGTTCCCCACCCCTGCTGTAAGCGCCAGTGCTCTGGTGACTGTTAAAAACTTTTTTTTTTGGTCATGACAAGCCTACAGGGTCAAGCCCTTTTTCCCCACGCCTGTCGCCCTTATTCATTCATGAAGCCCCCATTAACATCACCCAGGCCACATGTATCTGTAACGCTAGCAGGGTTTGGTCCACCGTCTTGAATGCACAAGTTCCTGTATCTCGGGGATGTTTCTGTACCAATAACGCAGCTTCCCAAGGAGAGGGGCTCAGTTGGACAAGTTTTGCCTTGCAAAATGCTCGCTCTAGCTAGCACTGGATTTGTTCTGAGTTTAGGCCACCTCCCTTTTTTGGGTACAAGCTACAATGTTACATGCTTTCTTTATGGTAGCGGTAGGCAGCTAACTGCACACACGACACTATTTTCACTGGCCTAACAGAGCCACGTTCCTTTTCCTTTCGAGATTGTAGCGAGACATCGTAGAAGGGTGTGGTGTCTTTTGCTGGTTATGGGATCCCCTATTCTTTTAGGAGTATATAGGGCTCGTTCTCTGAGCAAGATCAACGCCCCTCTCTTTAATTAGAATAGTGTCGCTTGAAGTGCGCAGTTTCACAAGTGTCTGCATTCTCACCGTGCATTTTTAAAGTTTTGGGAATGGCCGCCGCACGCCAAAGCTGTATTTTATTGATGTTTGTTTTGCGTTATTCGCCCGGAAAATGCCACGTGAAATATGTAAAATAATGGCGATGCAATAATAAAATAGTCCCCTAACACGTGCTCACGCATCCTACCGAACCACGTACAAAAACTCAAGCTGTTAATGATTGCTGGACGCTCGCCGCCCTGAATTAAATATGATTCATTAGAATTTAATAACAGGTGCAAAGTAATCTCTTTGCCAGGAGCGCTAGCGTGCACTGAACTAGGAAACTCATGTTGGCTTACTAAAGGCTCCAGCTTGCTCGACTGTTTGTAAACCCAGTTGCGCGTTGGATAGCGGTTTTGTCCCGGGGTGGGAGGAAGCGCTCTGTCTCTCTAGCTCTCTCTTCTGGAATTTTTTAAAGCACTTTGCTTCATTAATTTGTTCCCGCCCATGCATAGGTGGAAAGCTGCTTCACTAGTATTTACTTTGGAAAATAGCGATCTGATCCACTGCAAACGGAGAAAGACTCCAGCGCTAAAGTTAATCCAGAACATTTCCAACGTGGAATGCACTAGTTTATTTCCCTCCGGTTCTGGCAATAAAGTAAACAAACAAGCTGGAACCCTCAAGAAGCAAAATGCTCTGAGCTAAAAATATAAATTGTTTTTTAAAATCCCGTCCCACTGCATCCGCATTCCAGCTGGCGGGCTGGACTTGAGATAGAGTTTGGAAAGCACGCCGATGATTGCACCCAACTCGAGAGCAGGATGGCTCCTAGCCGTCTGATCTGACGTCAACATGTCTTTAGGCTCTTGCTGGAAGATAGAGGGAGCAGAAATGGGGGAGGGAGAGCTATAATCACTCCCAGATGTCTCTAATAGCCGATATAAAGACGTATATCGTGCCTAAGAATAAATTTGTAATCAGTGCTCTACAATCTGATCATCAAAGCAACAAAATTTCCTGGAGAAAAAACGGGGGAAAAACATCAGACTGCATTGGGGGATGCCAGGGGAAGGGCCACAGCGACTTCCCAGAAAGCAACAGGCCTTTCAAATCCGAATGCTTTGTAGAATTTATGTGAATATGTAATGCAGATAACAACTATGCTTTAATCTCGATTATACCGTGCAAACTGGAACAGCTGAACAGTAATTGGCCAATTAGAAATGGAAAAAGATTGGAGCTGGTTTTGAAGGGGAATGTATTTCATAGCCAGCAAAAAATGATAAGCCCTAGTTATTACAGAGTGGATTATAGTTGAAGAAATGTGGGATTCGTTTCCTTTCCATCACTTAATGAAGGGATTTTTTTCCGGGGGTAGGGGTGAGGGAGGAAGGATTTAAAATATGTTTCCAGGCGCAAAAGATAACATATTGTGTCATTAAAATGATGCAGCGTCATGATAGTGTTGAGGCTTCATATTTGTTCTCAGAACCAGCAATCCGGGGCTTCGCCCATTTCCATCTCCCACCTTTGCCGAAAAGCCTCATCACACCTATTCTGACACCATCTTTGAAAATGATGAATTCGCCATAATTATCTACTCGCAGATGGGTCACTGTAAACGGATGTGAAAAATCGGCTCTTCATAGTCTTATTCTTCTTGCCCCAGGAAAATACAAATTAGATATAAATCTAACAGGGTGGAGTGCTCATAAAACCACCAAGAGAGACAACTAGGGTTCCAAGAAGGACGGTGCCAAAGGTACATAACACCTGAAAACTCCCACGCTCATTTCTGCTATTTAAAATCAAACAGCTTCCTTTTAATATTCAGACTCCTTAATATTACATCAGAGTAACCTCAGTGATGTTAATATACTTTCCCAAAAGATTTGAATTGTACAAAACTTAGGGCTTTGCACACACACCAATGTGCAAAGTATTACCTAAGAATAATGTTCAAGAATAACTATATAGACGGTAGACCTAATTTATCCTACACAGAGAGGTTCTATCAATAAATCCACACTCTCTACTAATTATATACTGTTAAAAGAGAGACAACCGGTTTCATTTGTACATTTGAACCAGCCATACAGTCCCCTTGTTTCAATTTCATTGCAAGACTTAAACTTTTAGAATGACATATTTTAAGAATAAATGTCATCTCCCATCCATTTGTTATTATCTAAAAAACAAGAAAAGGACAAATTCTGCTCCCACTTACATCCACACAAGGGCTCGATCGATCCAACCCAATGAAAGTTTTGCCTGACTTCAGCGAAATCAGATCCCGGATTCCTGAACCCAGATTCACACCAGTGCAACAGAGCAGAATCTACTCCATTAAATATTCACACAAAGCTAATTAGAGATTCCTTGCTTAAATACAATTTTACATTTAATTTTAGAATCATTAGTAGCCTACTTCCATATTATTTTGCGTTAAAATTACGCCCTATAAACCCTTAATCACCCAGTAGTCCTAATGAATTCAGTGGGACTACTGGAGAGGGAAAAATTTCTTACTCAGGTGAGTAAGAGACTGCAAAATATAGAGGCCATCAGAGTGAAGCAATTTTAAAGCAAAGTATTTTTGTTGCTCATATTACAAAAAAAAAGTTACTTTGAGGCAGAGGACACACCATTTTGAATTAATTTCCCAAAACAATAAGTGAAGAAGTATTCTCTAAATATGACCGGTGAAATACCTAAAATATTGTCTAAAGACTGAAAATAGATACAAAAACTCTTTAATTTGGCAAACTGTAATTATACAGTTTGGTTTTACACCTCTGTCCCTCATTATCTTTTCCTCTCAGATTACCTGTAGATTAAGATGGAAGGATTTAGCAATTATTAACTAGCAAGAGTACACGGATATTTTCCCAGTACCATCTGTTTAAAAGTGTCTTTATATCAGCGAACAGTCTGTGTCACTGAGTAGTTATCAAGGAGGGCAGCCGTGGAATATATGAGGAGGCAAATATGTTTAGTAATGAATGACCTTAAGAACCTAGATACAGTGTCTTTTAAAACTTTTTTTCCCAGAGAGCTGGCGTACGGGAGGGAAAAAGCTTCTGGTTCACCATTCAGCATGTTATCAGCCACACAGCTCCTCTAGGAGATGTGGGGCCGGGGCACACTGACATCCCAATCTACCATCAATTTACCTTCCACCGCCCTGCTTCCCCGTTTAGCTTTTAACGTCAAAACCTACATTTTTGTCGGCTCCGGCCTGTCTAGGGCTCTTGTGATTTAGCTCCAGGAATGATTGCTCCTGAGAAAATGGCAACATCCTCATTACCAAGCAATTAAAACAGACCCCTTTTAGCGGGTGCAGCCACTTTGAGAAATGAAATGCAAAGGGAGCGTTTATTGTTCTGTGTATAGGAAACGCCAAAAAAAAAAAAAAAAAAAAAAAAAGCTGCTTGCTTCACAATGACATCCTGAATTTGCGAGAGGCATCATAGCCCAGAGAAAAGAGAGAGAGAGACCGCAGCCCTGCATAGCGTTGTAAGTAAAAGGAAAGGGATAGAAAACAAAGAAACCCCCCCCCCCACACTTTTAAGAGCATTTTCACTCATGCCTAATGCAGCAAGAGGGCCTTAGCTCTGTTTCTAAAGGACTGGCTTGCGCTTAAAGATCACCAATTAAACTCGTGTATTAAACACACAGCCTGTATGAGGATTCAACTGATGGGTAAGAACAACCGGGTATTTGCAGACAGTTATCGGCAAATACCTCTCTAAATTGGAGCTGTAATTAGTAGCATCTCAATATAGCTCCCATTTGTATAGCTGCACCAGTGGAGCCTTTAACCTACCTTGGTAACATTAGCAATGTCAAGCACAAATGGAGCAGTGGGAGATCTTCCACTATCAACTGGGAAGCTAGCAGGGAAGGAAAAGAAAACAAAAGGGAGACTCTTCTCTCGAAGTGTTATAAACAAAGGCAAGTGTCTGTAAACATAACCCTACGCCCAAACACAAACCCAGCCTGCCTGACCCGAAGGGAGAAAGGGCACATCACTTTTGCTTAGTTGTTCTAACCCTTCAACCTTCCCATTGTCAGAGAAGACTGGCAAACGTCGTAAGGGCTCTCTTATCTTTTTATGGGCAATTGCAAATCTACCTTCTCTTATTGTCAGAGTTGGCCACAAGCCACTTAATTAGGTATTACCATAAAGGAAGGAGCGCAGGTATATGCGCCTGGACTTTGTAAGAGAGCCGGATTGATTTAGGTTACTGGCAGCCTGAGGCCACAAAAATACTAAATTGAGGTTTATAGTACAGATAGAAAGCCTTTGCCACAATTCTTGAAAGCTTCCTTAGGCAAATTTAAAATTATACTGAAAATCACTTAAAAAAAGATAAGCCGTTTACAAGGTAGGATTTCAGGATGTAAATACCGTAGGAAGAATCAAATCCCCAGACCGATGCAATACACTCAACATTTGCTTTGGCTGGACTGGCGACGTGAATGGTCAATTTCAAGGAGTGGTGTTGGACCAAGATGGTGGTTTTCAACTGCTCAAATACAAAGGCTGGAAGAGAGGGCTGGGGGAGGCAGTTTTTACGTATTAAAAGGAAAGGGGCCAAATCGCTGGCAGTTGCTAGCCTGGAGAAAGGAGAGGAAAAATGTGCTCACTGTGGCAGATTGGAAACGTGCTACCCAGGAGAATTTTGGGAACCGCAAAGTTAATATTAAGTTCACGGCACCTCATTATAAATCTTACCGCCTCCCCCCCCCCCTTGCCTTGTTCACTATTTCTTACTTGACTTAAAATTACCTGTTACATAATCACTTATAGCAAAGCTCTAAGCTTCCTCTGCCGGCCCCCAGCCCGGCCTAGTGAGATGGCTGGCATGAAATGGCTGGAATGAAGGTTGGAGTCTTCTCTATATGACCCCATATAACATCTCTCTCGTTCTGGGCTTTGCTGTCATCTCGGGAAAACAAATAACTTGCTCTGGTTGCAGGAAATAAGCGCCAAGATTTAATCAATGTGTACGCTTCTCCCTCTACCACACTTTTAAACTACACTTTTAGCAACCAAACTCAAATTATATTTCAAATGACTCCTGTTTCGAGAGCTCATTTTAATGCAGGAATTTGTCTTAGGAAAAGATCAATAATTACTTATTTGATCAAGGGTTTGTTACTATTATTCTTATTTCACATTAGCATTAAATCCCATGCCTGAGAAACACTGAACACAATAAATTAAAATTAGGTTAACTGTATTTCCCCCCCTTTAACCCGCGCAATGCTAGTGAAATCTCTCCCCCGCTTTCACTCGGTGACTTGCTTAGAAATAAATTTACAGGCAATCTTGATAACTTAGTTTACTTCCGAATATCTTAAATATTATGAAAACTATAAACAATGTCGTTATTTAAAAACATTTGAGGTATAAAATATAAAAAGATTTTTTTTGTAAAAAACACACACAGTGGTTTATTGAATACTTACAACGTTTACACCTTCAATATTAATTAAACTCCACTTTTCCCCCCCTTAAGGACGGAAGTGCACATAACAAATACCGGTTGAAAACATTTTCAAATACTGAACGACCACAACAAAATTACCATAGCAATATCAAGCCAACTGAAACATTGGTGCAACTGTTTCTGTTGAAATATAATTTTATAATCCCATGAATATTTATATCCAAAAGGCCAGGTATTAAAGATACACTTCACATACACACTAATGCCTGGGAGTCTTTGCCTCCTTTCTTTTCTATTTTTCCCCGTGTGTTCTATACAACAGAGAAATAACATTCACCAAACTATTGAGACATTACCCCTTACCAAGCTGGAGTTTCCTCTTCATATTAAAATATGGAATGCTTTTCGTCGAATATCCACATTTTGGGGGTGGGGGGTGGGGGGAGAAATTGCACATAAATAAACTGGAGGATTCCAAATACAAAAAGTCCTCAGATCAAATCTCGCTAATGAGTCTAGGAGATTTCCTTGAGTCCTTCAGTCTTGCAGCGCTCACTGCTTGAGCTCCAAAGCCCAGACATGTTGCGGCCAGCCAGTCCTTCCTTTGGTTTTCTTATCGTTGCTGCTAACTGTGCTTTTCAAGATTTCGTTCTGGGAAGACAACGGGAAAGAAAGTAGAGAGAAACAAAGCAGAAGTTTAGAAATTATTTTCTTATACCATTTAAGTAACCTCCACCACCCTTACTTTTCTTTCCTTCTCCCTCAGAAAAGAGCAAGCTAAAGCTGGCGATAGAAATCTTCAAAGATCTATGTAGGCTTCCAAGCTACGGGACAAACTCACAGCTAGAGAGTTTGACAATCATCTGTTCGCGGGCTTTTCGTAGAAAGCTGCGGGTCCCTTTTGTTGTTGTTGGTTTTTTTTAAACAGTTTGTATGTTGCACACTTTGCAAACCAGCCCCTGTGCTGTTACTTTGAGTGTTTGCCACCGGGATGATTATTGCAGTGTAAGAGCGATTCATTCCCAAACGTAACAAAGCTATTGGAGCTTAAAAGCCACATACACAGCCTACTTTTCATTGCTGGGTTAAACTGGCCTTGCCCATTAGATTTCAGGACCGTATATTTTATTTCCAACAGGAATTACATTGCTATATCTATAAGATATACATTCCGACAGTTAGGGTTTCAATGACAACTTGTAAAAGGACCCACATTACAAATAGATCAATGATAAACATTCTAGTTAATGTCAGCATAACCTGAAATATATTATGAAAAATGAATAGATTATGAGAAGTGCACATCCACTCAAATAAAGCCCCAGTCTGTCGTATTCTGAGGTCAAATCCCTAATGAAATCACTGAGAATTTTGCCTGGGTAAACCAGCAGGCCTATACCCAGAGTTAGAGGCCACACAAAAAGTTATTTCCCCTTAAATAAAAGCAAAAAGCATAAATCACAAGAACGGTCTACAGTGAAACTGCGTGGCTGTGCATTATTTGCCAAAGATTTAAAATTGTGCTACAGTTGAATTCAAGTGACACATGCCTTCCCTGCGAGCAGAAGTTTTTATTTGAGCAGATTACAATGTGATTCTGCGCTATGAAAGGCTGCTAGTCTGAAGGACGGAATTATTAGAAATTGCATTTCAAATACTATTATTTGTAAAGACATTTTAGGGATGGAGTGGGATAAGGTCCTGAAGGGTTGCTAATAAGAAATAGCATGTACAAAATATGATTTTGTGTTTAAGACATTCGTGTTTCGCTGCAAGGCATGGCCTCGCAATTTTGACAAATCTCGACCCCACAGCCGACGCCAGGTTCCACCCCAACTGCATTTCATATTTAACCCCAGCCGCAGGTCACTTGGAACGGCTCCTACGCCGAAATGAATTGAGTCTCCCCTTCCCTTTATCAGGGATAACTCACACAGTTATGGGTCCTTCCGTTCACACGGCGTATCGCTAGGCGTACACACCACAGGTCAGGCGCAGAGAGCCCGTAAACATTCATACTCGCTGAAGGTGCATTACCCGAGGCAAACCGAGGGTGTTTCCCCCCCAGCTTCCCTAAGTGCGGCAGCGGGTGCGCGCTGGAGAACACTCGCAAGGATCGAATTAGGTCTGGGCGAGCCGGGGCGCAGCCCGCAGCCTCTCCCCGAGCGGGACAGGCCCGGCACCCCAGGCGGAAAGGGCGAGCGCAGAGCGAGCCTGGCAAATAACCCCCCACCCAGCCACGCCCGGGGCTGCACTGACCAGCTCTTTCTTCCTCTTCTCCTCCTTCACGTCCGTCTTCTTGATCTCCGCCTTGAAGGCCTCCGCCTCCCCGTTCTGATCGTCCTTGGCCAGCAGGTCCATGAGGTAGGCGATGTAGCTGGTGGCCAGGCGCAGGGTTTTGATCTTGGAGAGCTTGGTGTCGGCGGGCACGTTGGGGATGCACTCCCGCAGCTCGGCGAAGGCTCTTTCTTCCTCTTCTCCTCCTTCACGTCCGTCTTCTTGATCTCCGCCTTGAAGGCCTCCGCCTCCCCGTTCTGATCGTCCTTGGCCAGCAGGTCCATGAGGTAGGCGATGTAGCTGGTGGCCAGGCGCAGGGTTTTGATCTTGGAGAGCTTGGTGTCGGCGGGCACGTTGGGGATGCACTCCCGCAGCTCGGCGAAGGCGCTGTTGATGCTCTGAGTCCGGCGCCGCTCCTTGCGGTTCGCCGTGCCCCG